TTCTCTTTTATATTTTATCCAGGGTTTTAAAAAATGCCAAGTCAAACAGAACTCGCCCGGTTCGACTCGGGAATCGCCCGAGGACGTGCCTATTCTGCACATAAACGGGAATCGCCCCTGTCCACAGTGAACCGGGCGATTCCCAATAGTAGACTCGCGGTTCCGTCCGAGTCAGACCGAGTCACCCGGAAGAACACGGGCTGCACAGTGCTCTTCATGGGATTTCGATTTTTTTTGTCATTTTGTGATCAATTTTCAACGTTTTCAGGCTTATGAACGAATCTTACAGGCTTTAATTCAAATTTCGAATCATTTTCACTCAATAAAACGAATTAAAACCACCATTTTTTATCAACAAATTTGGATCGCAGAGTGAGTTTTAGGGTTTCCGCCATTTCAGTTATTTCAATCTAAATAAAGCTTTATTTTTTGTAAAGTTTCAGGCTGAGTGATTGTAAGAGTGTTGGTCAGAATTTTGTGTTCATAATTTGTGATTATCTTGGAGGAATACATATCAATTTTGAGTTTGAAGGCACGGATGAATGAAGAATAGGTAAAAAGTCTTTTTTTTTTTTTTCCGCCATGTGATCAAATCCAATCAATATTTTACAAAACATGTATTAAATTTGTACGGTTTTGATTCTTTGTAGTGTTGTTTATCATTAGATATATTCAATTTGATTATATTTTTTCAATTTCAGTTGGATTTTATAGAAAATAAGAGTGATGTTTGTTAAAAAAAAAGTGGACTGTTTTTTTTTTTCCTCCATTTTCACAATTTCAGTAAATATTTTACAAAGAATGTGTTAAATTTAAAGGGTTTTGATTCGTTATAGTATTGTTTATCATCTCATGTATTCAATTTTATCTGATTTATTCAATTTGAGATTAAATGATTGATGTCTGTGAAGAAATGCGTTTTTTTTTTTTCCCCTCAATTCAATCGATTTTATTTAATATTTTGATAATAATGTATTAATATTATAGGGCTTTGATTCCTTATAGTATTGTTTATCAAAACATGTATTAAATTTGATGTAATTTATTTGATTTGAGTGGATTTTTAGATGGAATGACTGAT